TATTGGATGATTATATGGAGAGAACACCATCTTGATTTAATGTGAGATCTCTTGGAGTGCGATAGCTCCTGACCTGAAGTCTGCACAAAAAGAAGTTATAGATTTAGGTAGCAGCAAGAGCAGGAAAAGCTGGAACATAGCTGGTGTGGTATAGATAAGTGGTACCTATCTGCAGCATATGTAATGATCATGAACTGTAAATGATATGATCACGGCAGGCACCCAGACATACAAAGTTTGTGTTAGGGACACACAACTGGCCCAAAATTTGAGAAAAACTGTTCCAATGAATACTATGACTTATTTATAAACACCTTAGGGAAAAGTCCATGTTATCAAATAATGTCCTGATTGTACAATACAGGTCCCAGGCTTCTTTAAATCATTTTGCCCTGGTTGTATACAGCTACCTTCAGGTGATTAGACAGTAGCAAAAAGGAAATGCTGCCAGGACATCCCCCTATAACCTCTCCCACTCTCACCTAGCTTCAGTTTTTTTGCTAGGTGAGGGGCCTCTTCTGACTATTGAGAGTACCATCTTACAATGAGGTTTTTTTTCTGTGGATGATTTATTTCTAGATAATTCTACTGATGATGTTTTCATCACCTGGCTGCACTGTAGCCATTGCGACTTTTTATGCAGCTTTATGCACTCCTTGGAAGAGCCTTGACAGACCATACCTGGACCCTGCCTGATGAAAAACACGGGGATGGTTTGTAATGTTGTTTTGCAAAGGATCCTGCTGTTGGAGCTTTCCTTGGCATGTAGTGCGTCATACAGAATTAGCATAAGAGCATTGCTACTCTGTGGCTTTTTACTGAAACACTGCATGTGCTTCCTTGTTTGAAGGAAGGTTACTGCGTGTACATACTCTGCCTCTTAATCTTTGGATTCAACATGGTCACCCAGCTGGATTCCCTGGGTCTTGATCTTGTGGGGGGCATTAATAGCAGTTTACTTTCACTGATCCTGGGTTAAAGCAGCCTACAGGTGCCTGCACCAAGGCATCATCCCCTAGACATAACTGCAGTCAGAGCTTTGGTTAAACATTGCTGGGTACAAAGCTTTGATTAGACAACAGTACATACAAAGTTTTGTTAGAGATCACCATACATAGAGCTTTGCATAGCCATTAGTGCATACAAAGTTTTGTTAGATATCACCATGCATAGAGCTTTGCATAGCCATCAGTGCATACAGAGTTTTGTTAGACATCACCATACATAAAGCTTTGCATAGCCATCAGTGCATACAGAGTTTTGTTAGACATCACCATACCAGAGGCGGACTGACCATTCGAGCACTCGGGCACTGCCCGAGGGCCCGGGGTCAGTAGGGAGCCCCATGAGATGCCCCTAGTACCTTTCATTGTTTTTTTCATAGGCTTTTTTGGGTGTGGGCGAGGACACGGGCCCCATGATCCCCTATTGCCCGGGGGCCCCATGAGTTGTCAGTCCGCACCTGCACCATAGATAGAGCTTTGCATAGCAATAAGTGCATACAGAGTTTTGTTAGACATCACCATACCTAGAGCTTTGCATAGCTATCAGTGCATACAGAGTTTTGATTAGATATCACTGCATACACAGCTTTGGTTAGACATCTCTGTGCGCAGAACTTTGGTTAGACTTCAAGGCATACATATTTTTGTTAAACATTGCTGCGTACAGAGCTTTGGTTAGACATCACTGGATACAGTGCTTAGATTAGAAATCACTGTGCATAGAGCTTTGGTTAGATATTGTTGCATAGAGAGCTTCAGTTAGACATCACTACATGCAGAACTTTGGTTAGACATCACTGCAAATTGCACCATGTCTTTGAAGTTATACTTACTTGATCACATAGTAAAAATAGAATCTAGGGCTACTAAAATGGTGCAGGTTCTAAAGCACAAAACAATGTCATGCAGATTTAAATCTGCACCACCTGAATGGATGTAAGGAGAGGATAGCATGTCAGTGATTTGTTTGTTTGTGTTCATGTTAAAACAAAGTGGTAGGAGATCCATTCCTGACTAAATAAAATCCTGCATATGCATTTGGTCTTAACTCTTTTGAATGCTCCTTCAAACAAACCCAGAGTATCTAGGAGTTCTTCATGGGCATAAAATGTATGTGTATCCACAGGGGGAGAGCCCTGGAGCAATTCTAGGATTTCCAATGAAAGGCTGCCTTGACTCAGGTCTGCCTCTGTACAACTATTATGAGAAAAGCCCCCATGTCCCAGAAGAAGGTGGCCGTACACCCTTGCATGTAGTTTGTGAGAGAGAAGACAACTACAAGGTAAATCTGAACTATTATAGACTATACAGTAGCTGAAATGGGTTCTCCAGTTAAATGTATTATTTTAAATTGCAGTCAGACAAGGGAAGTCAGTTATTAATGGTCGAGAGCACCCTCTACATATTGACCATAACAGTGCTTCAAGCTGGTCATCCAGAACCCTATTATCTAACAGAGAGCCAGCACACCAAGAATGAAGCAGAATCGGAGTAACAGTGTGGTTTATAGGTTGAGAACTGTAGCTTCCTTTGATTTAACTAACCTTCTAAGGATGTAATTAAGTCAATATTATGATGGGACCCTTTTCCCTGTTCAGTTACTGAGCTGAGCAATTGGTCCGGTAGATCAGGGATCCATAGAAAATATATGCTTGCTGTAAAGGTCAAATCCTGCTTTCTACAAATCAGTCATCCTGGGTTAGAACTATTACACATGCTTAATATTGGTGGATCTGCAAAATTCACCATAACTGTGGAATTGCTTCAGAAGGCAACAAAGAAAATAAAATCAAAATCTAGCTGTAATTACAGCAAATCTGCCTTTGTTTATTCATTGAATAAAGCTGTGACAAATACCAAGTGGAAAGGTGAAGTTTCTACAACAGTGTATTGTTTGAGTTTCTTTGATATGCTAAACTATTGCAGGTAATTCCTCTGTATTAGCTTTGTACTGATGCTTGAGATTTGATATTCTGAATGCTTTCAGCTGATAAAGTATGATATCTGATTGGATGCACTTTATTTATCATAAATAATATTGGTTAGATAACTTTATTATGTAGGTCTGCAGTAAATTTGTCTTTTTTTTTTCATACAGCTTGCCAAGGATACAGTTTCTTTACTTCTGGCTCACAATACCAAGCTGATCACACTGTGGAGTGGGCACTCCCCTCTATCCTTGGCCATCGCCAGTGGAAATGATATGGTGAGATGACTTTATATTCAGGTATATCAGTGTCAAGAGAAACCACAGACTTTTAAAAGGGAAAATTCAGTGCTGTGGGTCAGTTGTATTTTAAAACTTTTTTTTAAAAATTACAACTGACACATAATTATGGTTTTCTGAAAGAGAGAGCACACCTGCACTATTTTTTTTTAACCATTTGCCTACTGTGCCAATTCTGTCACTTATTTTCCTACATGTAAAAATCTGCTTTTTGTTTGCTAGAAAACTACTTTGAAAAAAAAATGGTGGTTGTTGCAATTTTTTAATTTTTAATTGTTTTTTTATAATTTTTTTTTACACTGTCTCTTTAATTTTCTTTATTTGATCAACTTTATTGCTCTCACAAGGGATGAACAACATTTATTAGATCCCCAGATGTCTCCTCTGGCCTCTAAAGCAGCCGATCAGATCAGTTTGGCTGCTTTAAAGGCCAGTAGACTATAGAAATGATCAGGTCCATTCTGGTCCTCAGTCATCTTGATGGTAAGGTTGCGAAAACCCCTGGCTTTAGTCCTGGGCTCTCTAGTGCAACGGGAGAGCCTGGGAAGGCAGCTGAAGGTGGCAGGAGAGGGGATGACCCCCTTCTGCCGCATGTAAAAGCAATCTAGCGGCTTTGTAGCTACTTGGATTTCTTTTACAGTTTTCAGCATCACCAGCCTAAAACATTGATACTGGAGTCATGACTACAACTGCAGCCATGGGCCTTGTATGGGTACATCCTATAGTTTTGAAGCAGTTAACTGAAACTTTGCACAGAGCAGTTTGTAGAAAGCATTTGGATGAAAGGGGAATTTGTCACAGCTCTGAGTTGTTTGCCTATGTGTGTACATTTGAGCTGCTGAGATTTATAAATAGCAGGCTATTTATAGCAGGGGAATTAATAATATTCTAAAAAACATGAAAAGGAGCCAAGAGCTCTACCTGCTGGCATTCAGTTTTTGTTAATTACATAATACTTAAAGTAGAACTATAGCCAAAACCATATTTTTTTCATTTTGGATAGTGTTAGGGGGGGGGGGGGGGGTTATAACGTTATATAATGGGGGTTATAATGTTCTTTTTATTTTTTTTGTCATATGTGTTCCATTGGGGAGACTTGCTCAGGACCAGGAAATCACTCCAAAATGAAGAATTCCCTGGTTGTCACTTGGGTCACCAGTACTAGAGTCCCCACTGGAAGATATCCCCCTCTTTTACTGTTCTTGGGTAAACCCAGATTTGAGATTTTCTTTCACTTTCAGTGATAATAATAAATAGGACAAATAGAGAGGGTGGATTTCTAAAACGGGGAAGCAGAAAACAATAAAAACCTGACAGGTGTTCTAATCCCTCTCCACTCCATCCAAAACTAAAAATGGCTAAAGACAATGTTCTCTTAGCCAAGCTTAGAGTTCTTTTTATTCAAGGACAGAAAAGGATTTTTTTTTTGTTTTTATTTAAAAAGCAATTTAGTCATGCTGAGGTGCACTTTTCACTTTTGATTCCTATGACATTAAAATGTTAATGATAATTTCACTTTAAAAAAAATCACATACAAAATGTTTCCTATATCCATGTTTCGGTTGTGCTAAGTATATCACATCCACTTGAGGTCATCTTACACATTTGGCATTTGTCACTGTTTTGTGGCTTCCTTGTACAGTCCTCTAGCACATTAACCTTTCTTTGATGTAACTTTATCAGTGCAAAAAAGCTGCTTACTTTAGAGTGTTGATTATGTGGTGTGTGCTGCTTTTTTCTAGGCTGTGAAAGAGCTACTAGCAAATGGTGCAGATCCCAACCTGCCTCTGAGCAGAGGAGTGGGCAGTGTTCTGTGTGCAGCTGTGAACACTGCATATGAAAAACACAGGACTCTGGCTGCAAGAATTGCTCTGGTACAACAAAAATCTTACTTTGCGAAGTAATTTCAGTCAGGACTTTTTGTTAGAAAAGATCTACTGTAACTTAAAACAGAAATAATAGTGACATTGTTTCCATTGCCATCTGCCAAATTCCAGTTGTCATTCCTCATTTTTTTTGTGTTATGATCCCCAATTTTTTATGCATTTAGCATAACCCAATATAATTGATCAGGATTATTATACTCTAAATACATGAAACATTGTACAAGTATAGATTGTTAGCACCAGCACTACCGTCATCTACAATTCAGCAGTTTATCACATATTACATATTTTCCATGCTCCTTCATTTACCCAGATTTGTCAGCCATCCAGTTTCCTTGTTTCTGAAGGTCTAGCTCATGTCTTGATTTATAGTTTTCATTAAAGAATATTCCCAAGGTCAGTTAATGTAATTGAGCTAGTCAGTAATTAGTTCGCTAGTGCTGAGACAGGAATGTATTTAATACATTCTGTGTGAGACAATTAAAGGTACTATGCATATGCTCAAACACTGGAATTATATTGCATCTGTAGGAGATCTTAATCAAAAATTGAATGACTGGTAAATGCTGACATACTGATAAAAAAGGAAAATAATGTCCCTCTTTTCTGAAAAATGTTATACTTGCAGACATGATAACAAACATTATCTGACCTTGTAGCTATATAATATACTGTACTCCCACGTTGGTTAGATCTTTGTTTTTGTTTTTTTTATTATTATTATTATTATAACATATTGGAATTGTCTATTGCCTATGAATGTCAATTATTTCACAGCACAAGTAACATAAGGCAAATAAATATATACAAACAAGTCAGTGGATCACTTATTAACGGGTGCCTAAGAGTGCCAACACATCTATCAAATATAAACCTAAACAAAAGACATTTTCTCACTAGTGCTCCACACATAACTCATTTACCATGATTCATCAAGCTACATACTAAAATGTGCTTAAGGTATGCTAAAGTAGTCCGGAGTCAATATTATTATTTGCCATGTTAGCCTGGTTTAATGGATAAGTTTACCCTTTGACAAAAAAATGCAAATGCACATTTTTTCGGCAGGTAAAAAGAAATGTGCATTTATAATTTTTTGTTGCAGGAGCATCTAAAGCATTGCACTGGCGATTAGCAGATTGCTGGTGCAATGCAGGTATCCTGTAGACCTGCTTGCTCGTACATCACATACAGGCAAGCAGATACCTACTGACAGGAAGACTGAATGAACTACCATAGCAGTCACAGCGCCATGGTAGATCACTGAGCAAAGCCTGTCGTGCAAAAGTTGTCAGGACTTGTAGTTCATTCATTCACAGAACTCTGTGAATGATTGAGTGGCCTCATTTTTTTTTAAATTGTGACAGCTAGCAGGGAGGAGAAGATCCCGTACTAGCTGTCACAATAGTAAGCAGGGAGGAGCAGGGGCCAGTCCACTTGAAACATGTTACACCTTGAATATGGGTGTACAGTAATTGTAACATGTTATGAAAGGTGAACTTATCCTTTAAGAGTAGTAGTCCATAACAGCTGCAGCTCAGTGGATTCTTTCCTAGATACACATAATATTACTGGATACTAACATATAGAGGTAAAGTTGATCCAGGGAATATCCAGTTGCCTCTTGGGATGTCAGGAAGGAATTTTGTCCCCTGCAGGAGCAAATTGGATCATGCTTTGCTGGGGTTTTTTTTTGCCTTCCTCTGGATCAACTGTGGGTGTAGGATTATAACTTTTTTTTTTTTTTTTTTGGTTGAACTGGATGGACTTTGGTCTTTTTTCAGCCAGACTAACTATGTAACTATGATAATATATATTAGGAAATCAGCTACTGTAGTGACTCCCAAGGCTGCAGTTTAACCCTCCATTGGAGTACTGCAAGGTTTTTCATTCCTGAACAGAGCAATGCAGGGAGTGGGAAAAGTAATGCAGGGCTAAGTCAAGCTTTGCTATTTGCCACTGTCCAATAGCCTGGAGTTGGATCATAACCTAATGGTCTAGGAATTAACTCTTCTTTTATATCATACATCCAATGAAAGAGATTTTACAGGTAAATCAAAAATCCAGTTTTCTTACAACCTGGGAACTCTCAGAAATGTATTGTAGGCCTGCATCTGGGGTATCAGCCTTTAGGGTTTGCAGCATGAGTTTAGAATAGATAAGTTGACAGATTTTTCCCAGCATGTTTGTTTGCCAAAGAAAATCTAATTTCTGATTACATGCAGATCATTAGCAAATTTCCAACTATTCAGCTAATTAAAGGGTTTGTTTGCGTGTCCAGCTCTGATGATTGCAAAAGGTTCCCCATCTCTGCCATTCCACACCATAATGTTTTCCACTTCTCCCACTACCTTGCTTTACAATTCCATGCTTTGTTGGTTAGAGATAAAGGCCCCAATCGTTTATGAATGCATAAGGTATTCATACCCCCTTCACTTTTTTTCATTTTTGTTATGTTGCAGCCTGATACTACAGTTGTTTAAATACATTTTTTCTTAATAATCTACACTCAGTACCTCATAATGACAAAGTGAAAACAGAATTTTAGAACTGTGAATTTATTAAAAAGAAAAAACTGAAATATCACATGTACCTAAGTATTCACAGCCTTCACTCAGTACTTTGTTGAAGCACCTTTGGCTGCAACTACAGCCTCGAGTCTTTTTGGGTATGATGCACATTTGAATTGGGGGATTTTCTCCCATTCTTCTTTGCAAATCCCCTCGAGCTCAGTCAGCTTGGATAGGAACCATCAGAGGACAGCTATTTTCAGGTCTCTCCAGAGATGTTCAATAAGTTTCAAGTCAGGGCTGGGCTACTCTAGGACATTCACAGTGTTGTCCTTAAGCCACTCCTGTGTTATTTTGCCTGTGTGCTCGGGATCATTGTCATGTTGGAAGGCAAACCTTCAGTCCAGTCTGAGGTGCTGAGCGCTGTGGAACAGGATTTCATTGATATCTTTGTACTTTGCCCCATTCAGCTTTCCCTGAACCCTGACCAGTCTCCTAGTCTCTGCTGCTGAAAAACACCCCCACAGCATGGTGCTGCCACCACCATTCTGCACTGATGGGATGGTGTTGGGTAGGTGATGAGCAGTGCCTGGTTTCCTCCAAACATAACATTTAGAATTGAGGCCAAGCAGTTCAATCTTGGTTTCATCAAACCAGAATCTTGTTTCTCACAGTCCTTCAGGTGCTTTTTTGAAAACTCCAAGTAGGCTTTCATGTGTTTTGCACTGAGGAGAGACTTCCGTCTAGCCACCTTGCCATAAAGGGCAAATCGCTGGAGGGCGGCAGTGATGGTTGTCCTTCTGGAACTTTGTCCCATCTCCACACAGGATCTCTGGAGCTCAGTCATTGAGTTCTTGGTCACCTCTCTTACTAAGGTCTTTCTCCATTGATTGCTCAGTTTGGCTGGGTGACCAGCTCTAGGAAAAAGCCTGGTTGTGCCAAACGTTCACCATTTGAGAATTATGGAGGCCACTTTGCTCTTGGGAACCTTTAGTGCAGCAGAAATTTTTGTAGCCTTCCCAGATTTGCAATAATCCTGTCTCTGCAGGGAGTTCCTTTGCCTTCATGGCTTTTGCTCTGATACAGTATGCAATGTCAACTCTGAGGCCTGTTATAGAGAGGTGTATGCCTTTCCAAATCATGTCCAATCAATTTAATTTACCACAGGTGGACTCCAATCAAGGTGTTGAAACATTTCAACAACAATTAAGAGAAATGGGTGTTACTTGAGCTAAATTTCAAGACTTGTTGCAAAGGGTCTGAATACTTAAAGTGGAACTTTAGGTAACAAATTAAAAATGGGTGGACAGGCCGGATTTTTAATGCAGAAGAGACATGCATTGTCTCTTCTGCATTAAAGCTACTTACCTGCTTGTCCACCCTGTACAGTGAGCCCGCGCAGCTCACTGTACAAATTCGGCAATGCCAAATTTGCCGAATCTACCGTGCATGCACAGGAGTGACATCATTCCTGCCCTGCCAATGACAGTGGCAGGCGTTCGGGACCAGGAAGCCGGCCATCTGAAGATATCAGCAGCCAGTTGGGCAATGATCATCAGTGCCGATCCATTTTCTGACAATTGCCGGTTAGCGGCAGTACTTCCCTCACGCTGTGACAGCATTAGAAAAGTGCATTCGATAACCGGCAACTGCATTTACCCAGTGATCTGCTGTGTCATTGGACACAGCTGATCACGTGGTGAAAGGACACTGTGATTGGCCTTTTACCACATCACATGATCAGCTGTGTCCGTAGGACACAGCGATCATGGAGATCCCTGGGTGCACGCCGCTGGGAGTGCGTGTGAGGGCGCGTTCTGGGAGGACGTCATATGATGCCCTCCCAGAACTGGACAACTGCGCTGTAGCCATCATTTGGCTATAGTACAGTTGCCAAGTGGTTAAGTACATGTGATATTTCAGCTTTGCTTTTTAATAAATTCCCAGACATTTCAAAAATTCTGTTTTCACTTTGTCATTATGGGGTACTAAGTGTAGAGAAAAAAAATTAATTTAAACAACTGTGGTATCAGGCTGCAACATAACAAAATTGAAAAAAGTGAAAGGGGTCTGAATACTTTATGAATCCAGTATGTATATATATATATATATATATATATATATATATACAGTGGGGCAAAAAAGTATTTAGTCAGCCACCAATTGTGCAAGTTCTCCCACTTAAAAAGATGAGAGAGGCCTGTAATTGGCATCATAGGTAGACCTCAACTATGAGAGACAAAATGAGAAAAAAAATCCAGACAATCACATTGGCTGATTTGGAAAGAATTTATTTGCAAATTATGGTGGAAAATCAGTATTTTGGTCAATATCAAAAGTTCATCTCAATACTTTGTTATATATCCTTTGTTGGCAATGACAGAGGTCAAACGTTTCCTGGCTGTAAGTCTTCACAAGGTTGGCACACACTGTTGCTGGTATGTTGGCCCATTCCTCCATGCAGATCTCCTCTAGAGCAGTGATGTTTTGGGGCTGTCGCTGGGCAACATGGACTTTCAACTCCCTCCAAAGGTTTTCTATGGGGTTGAGATCTGGAGACTGGCTGGGCCACTCCAGGACCTTGAAATGCTTCTTAGGAAGCCACTCCTTCATTGCCTGGGCGGTATGTTTGGGATCATTGTCATGTTGGAAGACCCAGTCACGGTTCATCTTCAATGCCCTTGCTGATGGAAGGAGGTTTGCACTCAAAATCTCACAATACATGGCCCCATTCATTCTGTCCTGTACATGGATCAGTTGTCCTGGTCCCTTTGCGGAGAAACAGCCCCAAAACATGATGTAGCCACCCCCATGCTTCACAGTAGGTATGGTGTTCTTTGGATGCAACTCAGCATTCTCTCTCCTCCAAACACGACAAGTTGTGTTTCTACCAAACAGTTCTATTTTGGTTTCATCTGACCATATGACATTCTCCCAATCCTCTTCTGGATCATCCACATGCTCTCTAGCAAACTTCAGACAGGCCCGGACATGTACTGACTTAAGCAGGGGGACACGTCTGGCACTGCAGGATCTGAGTCCCTGGCGGCGTAGTGTGTTACTGATGGTAGCCTTTGTTACGTTGGTCCCAGCTCTCTGCAGGTCATTCACTAGGTCCCCCGTGTGGTCCTGGGATTTTTGCTCACCATTCTTGTGATCATTTTGACCCCACGGGGTGAGATCTTGCGTGGAGCCCCAGATCGAGGGAGATTATCAGTGGTCTTTTATGTCTTCCATTTTCTAATTATTGCTCCCACAGTTGATTTGTTCACACCAAGCTGCTTGCCTATTGCAGAGTCTTCCCAGCTTGGTGCAGGTCTACAATTTTGTTTCTGGTGTCCTTCGACAGCTCTTTGGTCTGCGAGAGCCAGAAATCTTGCTTGTTGTAGGTGACCAAATACTTATTTTCCACCATAATTTGCAAATAAATTCTTTCCAATCAGCCAATGTGATTGTCTGGATTTTTTTTCTCATTTTGTCTCTCATAGTTGAGGTCTACCTATGATGCCAATTACAGGCCTCTCTCATCTTTTTAAGTGGGAGAACTTGCTTAATTGGTGGCTGACTAAATACTTTTTTGCCCCACTGTATATATATATATATATATATATATATTTTTTTTTTTAATTTTTAAAAGCTCTGTACTCAGCTTCTTATAGGGGACTTAGAAAGCTAGGGGTGAAGAAACAGCATTACACTACTGATTTTCCCAGTGCATGGCTGTGCAGGGGGCATGTCAGGATACGCAGGCTATTCTCCCAGCACAGCCACAAAACTGACCACCTTGGGAAGGATGTGCAAGGAAAGCAGGACAGCTGGCTGGAATACCAATTATTTGACACAAAGGTAGCATTACAAAGAGAACAGGATACTTTTTAACACAAGTACAAGGTAGCACAGGAATATATCACAAATATGACATTTTGGGACAACTGCTCTTCTCTCATACCACTTATTTGTCCTTCATAGGTGGACAGACTCATAAAATCTGGAGCCAATATATTGATGCCAATCCTTATAGGAGAAGGAAAGAGGACTGCACTGGGTACAGCTACAGACTATGCCTACTATAAGTACTTCCAGGTAGAGTATATCTGATTTTCTAAGGTGGTGAATGAGAAAACATATCAATTTTGTGCAAGCAGTGAAGTAGGTATATTTTTATGATAGCATTCATGCCTGAATATAAACTTGTTGCTATTGAGTAGTGTTTATCATACAACATAAGTTGTATATTACAGGATAAGAAGATAGCGCACACACCATACCATGCCTTGTCCCCAGAGGAGAGGGACATTTTTAAAGCACGAAAACAACTCTTGGAGCACTTGGGAGAACTTACTCGAGAGGCTGTTAAAGCAAAAGAAAAGGAGTGGGCAAATGATGGTATAATCCGTACGTACATAACTGTGCATATCAATTCTTGTGCTTTCCAAGACAGTCCCAGGTTCTGGAGATTTTGTACTGAACCTGCTTGTCCTGGTATTGTTTCTAAAATAAGATTATTGTAACTTTAACATAATTGTCTAGTGGACAAAATTGTCTCCAAGATAGCAAGTCCACTTCAGTTTTTGTCCAGTTTGCAGTATAGTGCAACTGATAAACACATCCTGAAATTGCCCTAAGGTCAGCAAATAATTTAAAAGATGTTAATGTTGTCCTACCTACATGGTCTTCAATACAGGATGGCCTTGGTTTGCACTGTCTGAGTCCCTTTGATTTTGGTAAACCGTCTTTGGAACTGTGTAGGAGTAGCAGTGGGATTCTCGAGTTGTGCTTTGTCTTATATTTTTAATTTTATTATTGTAATGTCTAGTTGCCTGGTCATGTTTCAGTTAGTGTTCTGTGTGCATGTAAAATATATTAAAACTATGTTATACTTGATTCTCTTCAGTTTCTGTTCCAGAGACAGTTGTCACTGGCACAGCAATCAAGGCACAATGGCCCAAAATGGTGACTCCGACAGCATGAAAACTTGTTAAAAGGTCTTCCCCCTATATCCAAACTAACCAACACAGTTCTGGATGGAGACATATTTTAAGCTGTGTAATGTTGGGCATGTGTTAAGCGTGACAGAACTGTTTTATACATGAAGTGGTCAGCCTGCATTGATTGTGTACTCATTTATGTCTTTATAGATTATAATTGTTCTGCTGATAAATGCGCAGTGAACAGGTCTTGTTGGAGGTCATAATAGTATTGTGTATGATGACATTTATTGCAGGTAGATCTTGTACACACAAAGATCCAGAGAGAAAAGTGAACAGACATGAAGTATTAGAAGGGCACATGTATGTTCCCAAGTGAGTGATCTGTTTTTATGTTATTTTTTTATTTTTTTTTTTGGTACACCTTTAATTCCGAGGTTTTTACTCTTTTTATATTTGTGTATTTAGAAAAACATTTTTCAAATACTGTTATCAGTGCGGCCGTTCTGTTGGAGTCAAGCTGACCCCATGTTTGCGCTGTTACTCAGTATACACCTGCAGCAAACAATGCAAGCACAAATCGTGGACTGAACTGCACAAAGATGAATGTCTCCAGCTTTCAGGTAAACTGTCGGTGTGGTAAAAAACATAGGTTGGATTATGAACTGTGCTTCATTGCTAGGCATATTTCTCATTTAGGACAAAAGTGCAGAGGTGACCTTTTTCACGCCTTGATTCCCTGATCCTAACTACTGAAGTACAACAGTAGGGGGTGCTTCAGGATCATGGATGTATTGGATGTTAATTCAGTTCAGAGGACCCCTTGGTGGGCTGTTTGCTACTGTTGCTAGAGTATGTTTTCTGGAAATGAATGACAATTTTTTTTTTTGGGGGGGGGGGGTTAAGTATCTCTAGTTCCCCTTTCATAATTGACACATTAGAAGCAGTAGATCAATGGGCATACTATAAAAACAAAATTATTTTATTTACATACACTTTGAAGTTGAATTTTGGCTATTCACCTAACTAGCCTTAAAACTGTCCCATACCCCTTCCTAACACCTATGCTAACTAACCTGTGTGAGAAAAGATGGATATACTTAACTATTTGCATTCCGCTCTTTTACGAGATCTGCCCAGTGTCAGCCCACAGTGGCTGCAGGCAAAGGAGAGAGCTCTCTCTAGTAGAGCCTGGAGCTATGACTTCGCCAAAGGCTTCAATGGTCCATCCATTGTTGATATTCCCTCCTTTCCCCTGCAGCCACGACTGTCTGACACAGGGGAGCTGGATCACGTAATTGGACCAGAGCAGCCTGAAGATAAGTAAGTATATACATCTTTCTTACACAGGTTAGTTACCATAGGTGTTAGGAGTGGGTTGGAGACAGTTTTAAGACTAGTTAAGTGTATAGCCAGAATTCCACTAAATTCCATTAGGTTCAGGGATTGATATGAATAATTCAGTGTACTCTGTAAAGCACTTTTATAAAATCATCAGTGCTATGTAAATTACTGTAGTTAAAATTTTAATTTTGGAAGAGGACTTGAATAGAATTTTCTTGCATATTCTTTTATGAAAATCCTAAAAACATATATTTATTGTGCTGAAACCAAGTGATGATGTTCCTGTTAAAATCATATTGCATTCCATATAAAAACACCACTTTGTATAATGGTAAATCAGAATATTGTTATAAAATGCAAAGCTGCTGAAATCCTTAAATACAACAAGCTAACACTTTCACCTACATTTCTTAAAATGGCCGGGTACCTTTATAAAGTAACTGAGTAGCTGACATCCTGGAAAATGGTGTTTGTTCCTTCTCCTGTACTATATCATGCTAATTGACAGCACAGCTTACACTTAGGGAAGCACCGAAAGCCTACATGGCATCATGGGAGCTGATTTGTTTTATTGCTTTGGTAGAGAATAAGTGGTTGTGCACTGGAAAAAAATGAGACTTTTGCTCATGGATTTAGGTTTTTACAGAGGCTTCACCATATACTGCACATTATGTTCACTTCACAGGAGGGGTTTTAAGGGTCATTTCAGCCACTAGCATTGGTCTTTAAAGTAATCCAAATTCCTGTACTCTGTGCTAGGCACCCTCCAATATCTCAACATGATCATTGTTCACCTGATCCCCACCACTAGAAAATAGTGGCAATAGCCAGTAATGTTGGTACTTGTTTAATATATCGCAACATACACACACACACCATAGCAGCATTGGGCCTGGCAATTGGCTTCTTTGGTTCTGAGAACTGCATTATTGGGACAGCAGGGGGATTACCACATGTATCTCAATATTGGAAAGCATCGGAAAGGATAGTGGGCAGAAGATGGGGCAAATGGGTGGGTAATTGATAATATAAGCAGTATTCCTACAATAGAGAATTAACTCCACTTCTCTTTATTTTTTAAGGAAAGCTCAGCAGTAAGATGACTCCAGCCAGAGGTGAGAGGAACAGTGCTACAAAGAGCCTGCATGCTGACGGGGAACCTTTGAGTCATGGCCCCAGGCCTTATACTGGTGGGCACAGTGTAGCTGCCACCACTGAAAATTATAGCTTTAATTAACAGAAATTAAATGGACAGTATTGTAACAGCATTGCTTTACTTTCTTGTACAGAGAGTTGTCTTGATTAAACCTCAAAAGAACTTTCAGTTTAAACCCACTAAAAATATTCCAGGCACATCAAAACAAAAGGCGTTAGACTTGGTTTTCTTTAAAAAGAAGCTACATCCTAAATAGAAAAGAATGCTTCCCACTAGTGTGATGTAGAGATGCAACATGTCCCCTTGCCAAGTCAGAGCAAGGAACATGTGCTTTGCTGCTTGTAGAGCTATAGGTCAGACCTCTGCAGAGAGACCACTGCTTTCACACAATGAGAAAAGGTCCATCCATCCAAGTCTTTGCACACTTCTTGTTTTAATACACTTGCAATATATTTATGCTGAAGCTCATTTAAATTGAAAGTTCAAGTGGGTTTTAAAGTAAAGAGAGAGATATCGGGGCTTCTGTTGTTAATTTTCTGCTGTAATTGTAGTTACCTGGTTGTTATACTTACCCCTGGTATCAAAATTTTCTGAACCACTGCTCAGAAACAAGTATGCAGATTAGGAAACAAATGATTGAATATAGAGGGTTGCCATGATAGCCAGGTAAACAGAATTATAAGAAGAGGCCTGAACATTGCTTTCATGTCAGGTTTCCTAATACATTTCTCTTTTTTTTCCGTAACATTTTTATCAGTAATGTTATTAGTAAAATAGCTGAGTGTCTGATATTATTTTTGCATATATAGTATATCTGTATGTCTGCTACACACTAAAGCCACTCTCCTGATTTATGGCTTTTTTTGTACAGCTTTGTCTCTTTGGAAAGCTGCTCTGGGTGATTCCCAATTTGTGATTTTTGTTTCTGTTTTTATTTTCAATGATCTTGCCAAACTGGCATAATCCTGTATCTCCAGGCAGTAGATTTTGTTTTAGATTTAGCTATTTTTTTATACATATGCTCCTCCTATTTAACATTATTTTGACATCAGGAATTTGTCAGTGTTCATAAAGAAAACCATTACAATCATGATTTGCATGTTTTCAGACACATGACAGGTGGTGAGCCATGTGATCCTTCTATTTCCTAATTGTTTCAACCTCTTTTACAAAACAAGAGCATGGCATATCTGATGCAACACTTTGTGTGCCTTTTTTGCTGAACCACTCAACAGAAAACTGTAAGGGTTCATATACACTTAGATTGTAAGCTCCTTGAGGGTAAGGACTGATGTGAATTTATATGTAAAGTGCGGCATAAATTGATTGACAGTGCTCTATAAGTACCTGTAATATTAAATAAATAAATGCACATGAGGCTAACACAGGTAATTTAGATGCCTGGTGTAATTTCCTGGCCCTGCCATACAAGTGCTTCTTTGTATCAGCGTTTACCGGCACATATGCATCTGACGTATTTTCTGAACACAAACTTTCTCTTTTATAAAAGACAATGTGGGTAAATTCAGATGCAAAGAAGCATCAGCATTTACAAGAGCACACCATGTACTGCCATTCAATTGTTTGATAGATTGTATGCTGCACATGTGTCTTTCCAGATACAGGAAAGCGCTGGGAAATGACACCAGGTATCCATAATGCCTGTGTAAGTCCCATGTACATAAACCCTAATACATGTTCTTTTGCTGGTCTACAAAATACCTAGACCATTTAAGTGTACCTGTCGCCTGCACATGGTGAGGGAGGTAGTTACTGAGCAGAACCAGAATGTCTACAATTGCAGCACTTACATTACCCAAATAACGGTAGAAGCTGATCTTTGGAACATGATGTGAAGAAACCTAACCATTTACATGAGCTTCTAATTACACCATTTTTTAGAGAAGCCTTTGCCTTTCCCATTTTTTTTGTTGTGATCTACAGCTATACTTTCCTATCCTTTGGGAGACCTAGTAATATTAAAATGTATATTTCTCTTGAGAATTAACACCTCAAGAGTGGTTCATAGCAGTTAAAACTACTTGCAAGATATATGAGGGGCTCAAGTTTGCACTTTTCAGCAGGGCGCTGTAGCTTCCATAACACCAGAGGGAGTTTTTTGGAGGTGGAGATTGCGGGGGGAAGGTAGTTACAACCTCTGGTGTTGGAATTTAGTGGGCCCCTATTTCTAAATACAGGTGTACCAGAAGACAGCAGAGCCAGCCAAGTGAGAGACAACCTATTTACCATATACCAGTTTCCCAGTGATCAGGTGTTCTAGAATAACTATGACCTGATCTCTCCTGTGTAAAGAGCCATGCTCCTGTGTCTTGCAGTTCATGCACTCATATAGGCTGTGTGCGCTCCATTGCTTCATGGAGAGGGAGAGCATACACAGCAGAAATAGAGCTATTGATCCCTCTGAGACATTTGTTTGTTTCTACACTTGAAATGCTGAACAGCAGAATTAAGCAGTAAAGCTTATTTTCCAGATCACCAGCCAGGTGTGACAAGCTCATTCGTTACAATTCACCAGTGATCTTCTGAAGAAAACATTAACTGTTCGGATAAGGCTGGTCATTTTTGCACCCCGAACCTTCAGGACACCTACAAGAATACTGCGGTAAATGCAAAAAATACAATCACACACCTTTGCACTAATCGCTTTCCCATTTAATGGGTTATCTGTGGTAGCCCCTGAAATAAACAAGCACTTCACATTTTAAATGCATGTGTTCCATAAAGTGAGTGTAAACATTAGGTTACAACATTGCATTCTTGAAGCAGAAGTTATTTCTACGCCATCACTTCCATCCAATCCTCACAAAGGGTTTTGCCTTTATTAACAAGTGGTGGTCAAATATTCAATTAAAAATGCT